AACCCCCACTCCCTGCCATGGCAACACAGTGAGAAGGCACCAAACTTGACCATATTGGCCTTGTAATCTCAGACTTCTAGCTTCCAAGCTGTGAAAAAATAAATTTGTTTTTCTAAGCCACCCATTCTATGGTATTTTGTTATGGTAGTACAAGCTAAGACAAATGGCCACCACAAGATATATGCCACAGTCAAATGTTGGTCTTATTTTCCCTAGTGGCCAATTTCATACAGGGACCAAACATCAGCTAAAAATTAGTGTATATCACATCTCTGGCTTCAATTATGGTTTGAAGTGGCCCAGTGCCTGTCAAACCTCATCTCTCACTAAATATAATACCATCTAATTCCTGCCAACATTTTCATCAATATTAGTGTCACCACAAAGTGCTATTAAAATAGAAGTGGTTTCATACATTATTTATCTGCAACGTGTCTACTGAGTCATTCTTTTGCTGGAGAGCTGTCTCCTTGGCATTTATAAACTCGGTAACAAATCTGCAGCTCACTGGATTCCCATCTTCAGGCTGTGACAGGGGAGAGGACGATCCATGAACTGTTTGGGCTGAAAGTAGTTGCTGCCTCTCTTCTCTCAGCTCAGAACATATTTATTCAGTGCCTGGTTGCAGGTGATCTGAACTAGGGGCTACACAGTATAGATTCCAGAAATGATTGGCTGTATTTCACATTCTTCTAATTAGAGGGGGTTCTAAAAGGATCTGTTATTTATTAGTGATTTTCAATTGTGATTATTTTTAAATCAGAAATTCAAAATGGCAATTCTAATCACTGGGGACGCATCAGTGAATACAATAATCGTTACTGTCTTCATGGAATTGATGTTCTAGTAAAGGGGAGATTTCATATATAAAACTAGATTTCTGGCTGCTTGGCGTATCAGAAGAACTGACACTCTGGGCTGCCTTTTCTTCATGACAACTATCACCTGGATCTAGGGAGCCACTTTATGTGTGTATGTATGTATGTATGTATGTATGTATGTATGTATTTATGTTTTGAGACAGAGTCTTGCTCTGTTGCCCAGACTGGAGTGCAGTGGCATGATCTCAGCTCACTGCAACATCTGCCTCCCTGGTTCAAGTGCTTCTCCTGTCTTAGCCTCCTGAGTATCTCGATTCACAGACATGCACCACAATGCCTGGCTAATTTTTGCATTTTTGGTAGAGATAGGGCTTCACCATGTTGGCCAGGCTGGTCCTGAACTCCGGACCACAGGTGCTCTGCACGCTTCAGCCTCCCAAAATGCTGGGATTACAGGTGTGAGCCACCGCACTTGGCCAGGGAGCCACTTTTAGATGGGGCACGAGAACTGTCATATTTCTCGCTGCTCCCTATTGTCTTATTTGACCCACATGGAATCTCAATAGAGCAGATACCACTACTATTATTATTATTACTGCCACTTGCAGACAAACTGAGACTCAAAGAGGTAAAGTGAGTGGCCAAGATCTTCTAACTGTAGAAGGTGGAGTGGGATATGAACCCACTTCTATGCAACTTCAGAGGCTGAAGTCTTTGCCACTATGCAGAGTGGTAATTCAGGAGGTAGGAACACAAAAATATCACCAAGCAAAAACATTCAACCCATATAAGATCAAATTAGAGCAGTGTATCAGCAGGAAACAGATGGCATCCTCAAATTAGGATAACTCAAGCAGAGTTTCATAAAAAAACTATTTACAAAGGCGTGGGCAGAGTGTAGGGAAACTGCAAGGCATAGTGCAGAACCCTAGATTAGTAATAGTAGGGCTCCATTGCCACTCCTAAGCCTTTAGGGGCAGATGAGGGGGTGAGTTACTAAAACTAGGGAGACAGAACTGTGGAGAGGACTGCCTTATTTGAGCTGACATCTTTTGCAGTGAAATGCAGCCAGCACTTGGGGACCCCACAAAGAGGGAACTTGAAGAATAAACACCGCAATCTCATGCTCCAAGTTGTGTTAATTCCTTCCCTTTCATCTCCTGCCAGTGCCAAACCCAGCTGGAAGTCAGAGGGCAACGAGCCATTGATGCCTTCCTATAGGTCAGCCTCTGGGAGCACAAAGTAGGGCAGAGAAGAGTGGAGAATGGCCCAGGGGACAAATTGGACACCTGGCATCAGTTGCAAGTCACAGTCAAGAAGAGTATGCTAGGGGACAGGGGAGAGTGGGGAATCAGAATATACCACCTCAAAATATGCTTTTGTAGCAGAAGGGTTATTTTGAGCGAAGGTATTTGAGATTCAACAGATGCAGAAAGAAGCTTTCCCTAAGCATCCCTTATCTGACTAAAAGCAGAACTTCTGAGAAATGAGGACTGCCATAAATCCCTTTTCCTGGGGAAGTTTTATGGCCATGAAGGAGATGGAAAGCTGCACCGAAATGGACCTGCATAAACAAACTTGGCTAAGATAGCTCTTATCTTCCATGAATTTCCCCCCTATATTTACCTCCTACAGTTTTGCCACCCTGGAACCCGAAAATCCAAACCCCATTTCCTGTGTCTTGTCGCTTCTCTACAAATTTATCATCCTTTGTTGAAATGATTTAAAAGTCTTCCAGCCTTGCCACTTTGCTGGGCGTCTTTTCTCTAGTCTGTGAACCACCTCCCCAGGCCACATAAACTGACACCATCACACAAAGTGTGTATACTCCCCCCACCTCCTGTTAATCTGTCCAGTGATAGTTTATTTTGCAGGTGCAGCCACTGAGCCTCTGAAGGCAGAGGAAACTTCCCTGCTTTCACAGCAGTGATGATCAGTAGGGGAAGAAATAAAGATAAGGATGAGTCCAGCTTTGAAGGGGCTGAGAAAGCATCTCCTTTTCTTTCTCACTTTTTCTTACTCTCAGTCCTGTGTGGCCACCTTGTCTACTAGAAAAATCATTGATTCCATACCAGAGATTCCTCAAGTTTGCAACACAGGGCTCGATATCTGTCTTGATGGCTTTTCAGATGAACACATTGCTGAACTATGCAGACTGGTATCTTCCAGTTTTTTTTGAGGAGTGGTGGAAGGCATTAAACTCTACCTTCAGAAAGTGACATCACAAAACCTCCAAGACAGAGCTGCCTGTTTTTCAAGCTCTCTAAAATCGATTAGCTCAATCCTTGTCAAATACCATATATCCTGCTAAACAGAGCTCTATATTACCACCACCAATGGCCATTTGCTTGCTTACTTTCAGATTTTGCCATTTCTGAAATCAACTGGATCGTGGCTTTAGATCTTTAGGGAAGTAGGTTTTCATCAGTGTATTTCAATCATCTTTACAGTGACATTTCCCACAGGCCATCCCAGAGACGGTGATATGAATATCACTGTCAGCATAAGTAACAGTAACAAATTCAGGAGCAGTTAGTTAACACTTTAACAATTCAGGTAGTCTATGAAACTAGTATACCTGGTTCAGAAACAGGGTGCTTCTGAGAATACATGGGGTGAGAGGATGAGGACATTCACAAGAGCATGATATCATAGTTAATTTAGGAATTAGTTCTGACACCATTGTTTATGTCTCCATGAGCATTTCCCATTCTTTGTCTTGTCTTTTTTTTGGGGATGGGTAGGGGATGGAGTCTTGCTCTGTCTCCCATGCTGGAGTGCAGTGGCATGATTTCAGCTCAGTGCAAACTCTGCCTTTTGGATTCAAGTGATTCTCATGCTTCAGCCTCCTGAGTAGCTGGGACTATAGTCGTATGCCACCATACCTGGCTATTTTTAAATATTTTTCATAGAAATAAGATTTCACCATGTTAGCCACGCTGGTCTTGACCTCAAGTCATCCACCTGCCTTGGCCTCCCGAAAGTGTTGGGATTACAGGCATGAACCACCATTAGTCTTTTTCCTAGATAATGGAATCTCAATATTGTTCAGAGGGGAGGCAAGCCATGTGCCTCAAAGGAAGCTGAGCTCCCCAGCCCCAGAGATGAAATTATTTGTCCCATCCAGGGTTGGTGCCCTCACACTCCACTGATGCTTGCATTAGCAGGACATATGATGCAGTTCTGACCAGTAGGCTGTGAGAGGTCTTCCGGGGCTGTGTCTAGCACAGTGGTTTCCTCTTTACTCATGGGAGAGACGTTCCAAGACTCCCACTGGATGCCGGAAACCAAGAATAGTACAGAACCCGCCTGCCATCAGTCAGAACACATTTCTGTTAATGTCTTCCTTCCACAAATGTAATGCCTTTTCCATCTTAACTAAGCACTTATCACACACTGTGGCTGTAACTTTTGCAGTCTGAGGTGTGACAGAAAGCTAGCATGAATTTCTTTTTTCCTTCCGCACAATTTCACAGGTAGAAGATTCATTCATACTGTAGATATTAGCAGCCTCAGCAAACGATTTCATTGCTTATTGAGAACTTTCACCTTTTCACATAAAAGTAGCATTTTAGGCTTCTCTAGCATATTTAAATTGCCACCAATACTCCTTTTCTGCTTTGGGGCCATTATTAAGTAAAATAAGGGTCACTTGATCCCAAGCACTGGGATACTCATACTGTGACAGTAGATCTAATAACAAGAACTGACTGAGTGATTAGCGGTAGGTAGCACAGACAGCGTGGAGATGCTGGACAAAGGGATGGTTTGCAACCCAGGTGGGATGGTGTGGGATGGTGCAAGATTTCATCACTGCTACTCAGTACAATGTGCGATTGAAAACTTATACATTGTTTAATCTCTGGAATTTTTCATTTAATATTTTTGGGCCCCAGGTGACCACAGGTAACTGAAGCCAAGGAAAGTGAAACTGTGGATGAGGGGAGACATTTGTCTAGGTTTTACTTGCTGCTAGAAAAAGTCACATAGGAAGAAACAGTTGCCTCTTTTTTTTGCTGGACATTATTGTAGTAGCCTGAGGTATTTTGAACTGTGGCAACCAGGAAATGATGTACAGGGAGCTAGATCTCCTGCTGAAAATGGGAGAGTGCAAAGATGCCGTATGACTTCCAGGAACCACTGAGTTCATTCACCAACCCAAGTCCTGTTCTCCCTCAGGGCTCCAATGTCAGACAAGAGATTTCTTATTGCTGGCACCAGTAGGCACAGGAAGCCCGGATCCAGATGCACCATATTCATCCAGAGGCATGAAATTCAGCAGTCAGAGCGGAAGGAAAAGGGTAACTAATAATTTTAACACATTGTTTTTCAATTTTTTTGATTAAAAAATATAAAATGTAAAAATTCAATCAAGATGGAAGTGTTAAGAATGGAAACTGAAGTCTCCTATAATTCTCAAACTTCTACCAACATATGTTAATGTAATGTGAAAAAAAAAAAGGATCAGAGTAGACGTAGCTAACCGTAAAGGTCAGTTCTTTGTACAAATACATGTCAGTCTACCCCTTCTTTTTAATAGTATCTATGATATTCCAAAGTATAGATATATCATAATTTTTTAAACCTAATACAGGTGGTACTTTTAAAAAATTTCATCCAGATCGGTGTGGTGGCTAATGCCTGTAATCTCAGCATATGCAGAGGCTGAGGTGGGAGGAATGCTTGAAGTCAGGAGTTTTTAAGACCAGTCTGGGTAGCATAGTGAAACCCTATATTTACAAAAAATTAAAAGAAATTTAACTGGGTATGGTGGAGCAAGCCTACAGCACCAGCTACTTGGGAAACTGAGAAGGGAGGGCCACATGAGCCCTGGAGGTAGAGGCTGTAGTGAGCTGTGAGCACTCTACTACTCTCCAGCCTGGGCAACAGAATGAGACTGTCTCAAAACAAAAGAACAAACATTGTGATCCATGGGTAAAAATGTTCATGAGCCCTCAATTTCTGCATTCAGTTATTTTTAGTTGAAGTCTCAGTGTCATTCAGAGAACCATGCTCAGGGAGCAGCTATGTTGCACAGCGGATTGGACATGGGATTTGGGGTCAGGCAGATTGGGGCTGGGATTCAGTGCTCTTACCTCCTACCTGTGTTATCTTGGAAAGTGATTAAACCTTTTATGTCTCAGTTGCCTCATCCCCCCACCCAAAATAATAAAACCTACCTCTTAATGTTGTAAGAGTTAGAAATCACGTATTAAAGTATCCTTTACCTGGACTAGTTGTTCAGTGAATGACAGCTATTGTTTTAGGAAAGGAGCTGCCTTCACGAAATAGTTTAACTATCTTTGGTTATTCTCACTGTGAATAAGTGGACAAATATGCATGTGTACTTGTTAATCTAAGATCATTACTTTTCTTCCCCTCCCTCCCCTCCCTCCCCTCCCCCCATCTTCTCCTTCCTCTTCTTCTTCTTCTAATTACTATTCTTCTTCCCCCTCTCCTTCTCCTTCTCCTTCTCCTTCTCCTTCTCCTTCTCCTTCTCCTTCTCCTTCTCCTTCTTCTTTTCTGACAGAGTTTCACTATGTTGCTTCCTTGCCCAGGCTGGTCTTCAATGCCCAGGCTCAAGTGATCCTCCAATTCCAGCTCCCTGAATAACTAGGAATACAGGCACACCCCAGGGTGCCCAGAAAAAATAATTTCTTGAAATTGTTACTTAAATGGTGCAATGTACTACATGGAAACCGACAATCTAAATTCATTATTGTGAATCATGTAAAGAAGATAAACATTTGACCCCCATTTTGTGGACGGATGTCTGCAGACAGAGTTTGAGCAATTTATCAAATAGGCCAGAGAAAGACATTATTCATATTAAGAAGATCTCAATAGGCTGGACTGATGAGTCAAATTAAGCAAGGTGAACTATTTTAGGGAAAAATGTGAAATTCATCTGTTTAGTTCTGTTTCTTTTTTTGCATGATGCAGAATGGGAGAAATGTCACGTAATAGCAGGTATAAAAAAGGCGTAGGAGTTTTAGGTGGCTGAAAGTTCAGTGTGAAGCCATAGTGCAATCCAGCTGTCTAAACAAGCAAATATCATCTTTGTCCTCATAAAGAGAAGTAGGAAACTCAAAATGAGGAAGGTAATGACTCCACTTAGTTTGCTCTTGTTAGACCACATGCTCTTACAAGTGGGGAGGGTAAGGAATTGGCATGTGGGCTGAGGATTATTGCTTGAATGCCCATAACAGATACTACTAATTAGCTGTGTTCCACTGAGTTTAGATGTAGCCTCTGAACCTCTATCAACACAGTTTTTAAGGCAGCCAACAGTTTTTGGATGAAGTTGGCATGCAAGATAAAACCTACAGGTAACCCATGGACTGAATGTTATTCTTACCATCTCCTTCCAAAGGGGCAGCCAGTGCCTACATCATGTATTCCAACCTTTTCCCAGCCACAACAGATTGAATAGAACCCAAGAGCTGTCAGTCTACAGGCTACTTTGAAGAGCTTTATTCAAACTGAAACAAGCTTACCTCACTCTGATTCCCTCTTTGGGGAGTTTGAACTGGGGAAAGAAGGCAGATCGGAAGGTCGGTGGCAGGCTTCAAGGCTGAACTCTTCATGGAGCCCACGCTATTGTAGAGGCCAAAATGGAGTAGAAGGAAACCGGAAAATAGAGACAAGAATGAGGAAGCAGACGCTATTAGGTAGAGAAAAATCTACGAACAGAGAGGGGATATGGAATTGGTCGGTGGCAGCAGGAACAGTAGACAAGGTGGAGAGGGCTGAGGATGAACAGAGGCCCACTGCCGAGGGACTGACGCGAGCTCTTGTCCTCTGGGTAGAGATCCAGGGGTATTGCTATCTCTGCTCCTCCCTATAGGCCTCATTTGCCTGGGGTCCAATCAACCAGGCCATGAATTTGAGGTCCTTTTTCTCACATTCACAATAACCACCTCCTATTGCTTGAAGTAGCCTGAGAAAAATTTTTGTTCCTTGTCATCAAGAATGTCTACTCAAGCTTCCTTGTCTAGTTTTGGGTACCATGTTGGAGAACTGAAGCAGGTCCCCAAGAGAGATTAGAATGGTAAAGAGGCCTAGGAACTCTTATACAAAAAGAGTTTTCAAAAGAACGAGGAGTACTTATCAAGAATAGTGGCTCTTAGAGTGTAAGCACCAAGCAGCAGCAGTGGCATCTTAGACATGTGAATTTCTGGGCCCACCCTAGACATACAGAACTCTGGGGGTAGGGCCCTGCACTGTGTGGTTTAGCAGGATCTCCATATCTGATGCATGCTTAAGGTTGAGAACCACTGGTCTAGAGAAGAGAGGACCCAGGCTATTATGAGGATGATCTCCAGTGATTTGAAGGAGTCAGGAGGAGGTGTGATATGGGATCCTAGAGGGCAGCACTAGAACCTTTGGCTGGAAAAAATGGAGACAGATTTTAGGACAATAGAAAGAGGACTTCACAAACAGTTAAGGGTGGTTTGAGAAAGATTTATGCCTGGTGGGTAGTGAGCTGCTTATTTCTGGGGGAGTTTAAGGAAGGAACGCATGACCAACAGTTGGTAGATATTGCAGAGGTCTGTGAAGTACACAGGAGAAGAGGAAACTGAAAGAGGAAGCGTGTATTAGGAAGACTGCAAATCAGGAACAGCAATTGAGGACTGGCATCCAAGATCTCTCTCTCTCATTGCTATGGTAACAGTGGGGGTGGGTGGTGGTAACAAACGAATTGTGTTTATAAACCTCAGCTGGGGCTTGTTTCTAGGCACTTGCCTGAGTTAAAGGTGAATCCAGGATCCTGGTCTCTGACATGCAATAAATCCTCTCTCCTGGGACCAGGATCCTATTTTGAAATTGCTCATATTCCTATCTCTAGATTCTAGCTCCTCATTCAACTGTCTTGAGTAAGGGTAGAGATTCCAATATGGGGAAACAGGTGGAGGAAATCTGATGATCAATCCTAACACCTCAGGACAGGAAGCTGCATCTAGAGTAATGAATATGAATATCAAACCTAGGTATTACATTTAGTGAGTAAAAGTGTGAGCTGTAGAAACAGAAGGCTGGATGTCATCAACTGAAGAATGATGAGGTTCATAAACTTGGAAAGGAGAGCTTTAATTCTCATAAAGGATTGCAGCTTGCAGGCTTGCCATTCTGACAGGGTGGGAAGCATAGCCTCTGGTCAGGAGCCCAAAACAGATACTCTGAGGGTGGGGCAAATGGAACAGAAATTTATGCTGAGCAGAGGGTCAAATATACATATTCAATAAGCTACAGGAGGAATCATGAATATTTATGAAGGAGAAACACATGCATATGACATTGAGCATCATCCCCCGGCATAGGTCCCATGCAGAAAAAATGGTGGTGTTAGCATGATCTAAGGGTGGAGTTTTGGGCCTTTTGACATCAAAAGGTGAAGCAGGCAGGAAAACCCTTACTGCACATTCTCTGTAGATTGGCCAGAACCACTCTGTGGTCGGTGTCTCTGATCAGGCAAAAAAGGAGAGGCAGTGTTAGGTGGTGGGCTGATTTCAGTGGTAGAGTCTTTTAAAAGGTTAAAAGGGCTGCTTTCTTTCTTTAATTTTTTAAAATTTATTTTTTATTTTCAATAGGTTTTTGGGGAGCAGGTGGTGTTTGGTTACTGATACAAACTCAAACAAATTAACAAAAAGAAAGCAATCCATCAAAATGTGGGTTAAGAACATGAATAGACAACAAATGGCCAAAAAGCATATGGAAAAATGCACAACATAACCAATGATCAGGGAGGTGCAAATCAAAACCACAGTGGGATACCACCTCACCCTGACAAGAATGGCCATAATCAAAAAATCGGAAAAACAATAGATGTTGGTGTTAGATGAACAATAGATGAATAAGTTCTTTAGTGGTGATTTCTGAGATTCAGGTGCACCCATCACCAAGCAGTATACACTGTACCCCATTTGCAGTCTTTTATCCCTCACCACCCCACCCTTTCCCCTGAGTCCCTGAAGTCCAATGTATCATTCTTATGCCTTCTGTCCTTATAGCTTAGCTCCCACATGTGAGTGAGAACATACAATGCTTGGCTTTCCATTCTGGAGTAACTTCACTTCATCCAGATTGCTGCAAGTGCCATTACTTCATTCCTTTTTATGGCTGAGTTCTATTCCATGGTATGTGTGTGTGTGTGTGTGTGTGTGTGTGTGTATATATATATATATATATATATATATATATATATATATATATATAAATTTTCTATATCCACTTGTTGGTTAATGGGCATTTGGGCTGGTTCCATATTTTTGCAATTGCAAACTGTGCTGCTACAATGGCA